ATCTTAGATGGCCGCTTGCAAGCTTTTAAGACCCCAGACGCACTCACCAAAGTAGGATGCAGAACATTTTCTTAATAAGCTTTGTTATGCCAATTGACATAGATGTCCCCTGAAAGCATGGTCCCCAGACCCCGCATCCCTGCTACTCTCTCTCAAAGTATCTGACTGTATTGAGGAAACTTCTTAGCTTTGGTTTAGTCCAGTTGTGCTGGCTTCCCCTGTAGTGTGTGCTGTCCTTCCCTTCACCTAAGATCATTCTTATCTACTATCTAGTTAGTGAATAACCCTCACCCTCCCTCCCCACCCCCATAACAATCAAAGAATGTTTTCTTCTGTGTTTAAATCTTTCCTTGAGTTCTTATAATAGTGGTTTTATACAGTATTTGTCCTTCTGTGCCTGACTAAATTCACTCAACATAATAAGTTCTAGCTTCCACCAACTTATATGATGTTTAAATTCTGAAATCTTTTAATACAGAATATACTTCTTGCTGTTTTCGCATTAGTTTCCCACTAGTTTGCTATGAACACAATATTTTAGTCTTTAAAGTCTTTTCCATTAGCAATTTTCAGTGCTTGAATTAATTGGAAAAAGGAGAAAAAGTGTTAAATGGGGTTTAAATTATTAATCTTGTTTTCAAATATGTTCTTAGTCTCTAAAACACAGGTACTTAAATTTATCACACTAAACAAAAAAATCATGGCACAGGTTTCTAAGTTGTGGTATAAAGCAAACACGTAGTGGGGTATAACTGCTGTCCAAAAAAGTGATAACGTAAGACTATTGTGCAGAATGCAGATGTTTCTGACGTGACTCCTGAACCTTAGGTGCAGAAAGGGAATAATGATGACGACAATGAGGGTGACAGCTAATATGAACCGCACAGTCACCACGCGCCAGGCACTATTCTAAGAACTTTACATGTATTAATCCATCTATTTCTCACAGCTCCCTTCCAAACCAAAAAAAACCCACAGCCATCGAGCTGACTCTGATTCATGGTGACCCTATAGGACAGAGCAGAACTGCCCCATTGTGTTTCCAAGGCTATAATCTTTACAGAATCAGACTGCCACTTCTTTTCCTGTGGAGTGGCTTGTGGGTTTGAACCTCTGATCTTTCGGTTAGCAGCCAAGCGCTTTAACCTGTGTGCCACCAGGGCTCCTTCCATGAGAAGGTATTGTCACCTCATTTTACAGATGAGAAAACTAAGGCAGAGAAAAATAAAGTAACTTGCTCAAAGTAAGCGTCAGTAGGTAGGAATGACTGCAGAGCCCACACCCTCATCCCTCCTTTACACCTGCCTCCCAGTGACATCTGTACTAGGCTCTTGGGTGTGTCTCCATGTCTGATTTGTAAATCTTTCAGAATATGGAGAAAATAATTATATGCATCCTTTTAGAATTTTCTTCCCTCTTCCGCATTTTAAAACATTCTAACATCTTAACACTTTACAATTTACTTTTGAAACCTCAATTTTCAAAAGATAGTATTCAAGTCAAGAGCAAGTTAATGCTACACGCTTAATTTGTTACGTGCCCCTGATCAAAGAATGAGTATTATATCCTGACCCACTGAATGGGAAGCTGCTAGGAATAAAGGATTATTTACCTGGTGTTTGGTAACAGTTTTCCCAGAAGAAAATGGCTTTTGAAACAAAACCATAAAAAAGGCAGTCCTGTTAATATAAATATTGAAACATTAGTATATTAATATTAATCAACATTAAATAATAAGATGTGGTTTTAAGACATGTATTTTAAACAAACATACTAGAACTAGAATTTGAAAGATATGTTATCCTCTAAAAAAATAATACTAAGAACTATACTTATTCTAATAAGGCTCCCACTGCAACATTTTGGAAACTATTCCTTTGGAACTGCCTTTACAAAGTGTTCAGGAACCACAAAAGGAGTCTCAATATTTTTTTGTAACTTGTAATACCAAAGAAAATAATTCCCATCTTCTCCAAAATTCAGTAATAACAAATTTTGAAAGAGAAATGAAGTACTAATTATATGTCCCTATCTTTCACATTCCTAAAACAGTTACATAAAAATATCCTAGTCAAGAGTCACTTTCCATAATCATCAACACTATACTCCCAAGAATCTTTAATAGATTTTTATTAACACAGAGGGTGTCACTATCAACATCTCAGGGTCCAGAGAAACTTTATTTAAAAAGAATTTCTTACCATATTCAGAATAATGTAAACTTCAAACTATAGAGACCCCTATAACCATTGCCACCGAGTCCATTTCGACTCGTAGCAACCCTATACCAAAAAGAAAACACATAGTAAACATAGCCCAGCTTGGTTTAAATTAGAAAATAAGTATCATTTGTGCCAGATAAGCCTCACGTAAGGTTCTGTGCCTGCTAGAAAGTTGGGCTACCCTAGTATTACTGTCTGGAATCCCTGTGGTGCCTAAGACCCTGTCAGGGAGTCTGCAAGGTAAAAACTACTTTCATAATACAAAGATGTTATTTCCCATTTTCAGTTTCATTCTCTCATGAGTGAACAGGGGAGTTTTTTAGAGGCTAGATGACATGAGATACTGCAACAGAATGAATGCTGAAGCAGACAGGAGAATATAGCTGTCTTCTATTAAGTCAGATTTTATAAGAAATTTGCAAAAATCTCATTAACACAAACTAAAGTCTATGTTTTGGCAAGGTATTAGAGTACAATAATCCCTCTTCTAATGTCTTTGTACCCTAAACTTAAGTATTCTTCAACTTTTTTTTTTTGTAATCAAATGTTTGTCAGGAGGAATAAACTGCACAAAATATTCTATGTAAAATTTCTTTAAAGATACTCAGTTAAAACAGGATTTTCAAAGAAATTTAAAAAAAATTCAGAAAACACACACACACACACACACACACTCTTACCCAAGTTTTAATATAAAAATGAACTGAACAATGTGAACTGCTTTTAGGAGATCATATGATTCAAAAAGTCCCACAGCCTTAAAAAATTTGGTGAAACACAGCAATACAATATATTTTGTTAATCTGAAAAATAAAAGCAGAAACAAGTTTTAGTATCATTGAAATCACAAAGAACTCTGTAACCTTTGTTTTTCTCTTATACAAGTAATAGAGGTCACTATAGAAATCACAGAAATACACATAAACAAAATAAAAAAATGAAATGATACGAAAAATACCCAAACAACTCACCATTCCATGGAAAAACTACAGTTAACATCCTGGTATATGTATACACTTCCAGAATCTTTTCAATGTATATGAGTATTTGTATAGTTAAAGTCTATTAAAGAAAAAGCCAGACTAAAATTGTTATTGGTTAATTATGCTGCCTGGACTATTTTGTAACATGCTTTTTAAACTAATAATTACTCCAAACAAGCAAGGGAGAATGAAGAAAACAAGATAACAAGGAAAAGATTAGTCCAAAGGACTAATGGACCACAACTACCACGGCCTCCACCAGACTGAGTCCAGTACAGCTAGATGGTGCCAGGCTACCACCACTGGCCACTCTGACAGGGATCACAACGGAGGGTCCCAGACAGAGCTGTAGAAAAATGTAGAACAAAACTCTAACTCACAAAAAAAGACCAGGCTTACTGGCCTGACAGAGACTGGAGAAACCCCGAGAGTATGGCCCCTGGACATGCTTTTAGTTCAGAAATGAAGTCACTCCTGAGGTTTAGTGTTCAGCCAATGGTTAGACAGTCCAATAAAACAAAACGAAACTAATGGGGCATGACAGTCCAGGGACAAGAACTAGAAGACAGGAGGGGGCAGGAAAGCCCAAGGTCAAGAAGGGAGACTGCTGACATGTTGTGGGGTTGTTAACCATTGTCATAAAACAATATGTGTACTAACTGTTTAATGAGAAACTATTTGTTCTATAAACCTTCACCTAAAGTACAATAAAAAAAAAAAAAAAAAGAATTTTTAAGCTATTAAAAAAAAAAATTACTCCAAACAAATGAGAACAAAAAACAAACATACAACCAAACCCAAACTAACTGCGACGAAACTGTTGATATTGTTGTTAGGTGCCGTCAAGTTGGTTCTGACTCATAGCAACCCTACGTACCACAGATGAAACACTGCCTGATTCTATGCCATCCTCACAATCATTATGTTTAAGCCCACTGTTGCAGCCACTGTGTCAATCCATTTCGTTGAGGGTCTTTCTCTTTTTCACCGATCCTGTACTTTACCAAGCATGATGTCCTTCTCCAGGGACTGATCCCTCCTGACAACATGTCCAAAGTATGTGAAACGTAGTCTCGCCACCTGTTTCTAAGGAGCATTCTGGCTGTACTTCTTCCACGACAGATTTGTTTGTTCTTTTGGTAGTCCATGGTATATTCAATATTCTTCGCCAACACCACAATTCAAAGGTGTCAATTCTTCGGCCTTCCTTATTCACTGTCCAGCTTTTGCATGCATATGGTGCGACTGAAAATACCATGGCTTAGGTCAGGTGCACCTTGGTCTTCAAAGTGACATATTTGCTTTTCAACACTTTAAAGAGGTCTTTTGCAGCAGATTTGCCCAATACAATGCATTGTTTGATTTCTTGACTGCTGCTTTTATGAGTGTTGATTGTAGATCCAAGTAAAATGAAATCCTTGATAACTTCAATCTTTTCTCCATTTATCATGATGTTGCTTATTGGTCCAGTTATGAGGATTTTTGTTTTGTTTTTTCACTGTGTGGATCATAGCAAATTATGGATAACATTGCGAAGAACAGGAATTCCAGAATACTTAACTGTGCTCATGAGGAACCTGTACATAGATCAAGAGGCAGTTGTTCGAACAGAAGAAGGGGATACTGCATGGTTTAAAGTCAGGAAGGGTGTGCGTCACGGTTTTATCCTTTCACCATACCTATTCAATCTGTATGCTGAGCAAATAATCCGAGAAGCTGGAATCTATGAAGACGAATGGGGCATCAGGATTGGAGGAAGACTCATTAACAACCTGCGTTATGCAGATGACACAACCTTGCTTGCTGGAAGTGTAGAGGCCTTGAAGCACTTACTGATGAAGAGCGAAGACCATAGCCTTCAGTATGGATTACACCTCAACATAAAGAAAACAAAAATCCTCACAACTGGACCAATAAGCAATGAAACTAGAAGACCATAATAGGAGAAGAAAGAAATGGAGGAATGATAAATGACTTAGATTTGCCCCTCCTCTGCTTTGCTAAGTGACTGTAGTTAAGAGTTGTGATTGAAAAATCAAGTGACTGGATGCACAGAGTCCTGAAAAGGCTCAGGAATTGGGAGTCACCAGGAACTTTAGAAGGGAAGTGGGGAGCTGAAAAGAGGAGGATCATCGTCAGCATGATAGGGAGGAAAAAAAAACAAAGACCAGGAAAAACAGAGATACATTAAAATCACAGCAGTCAGGGAATTCTTGGGTTAGCAAAGAGCCTTGTACATCCCCTATAGGGCTGTCTAGCCATTGTTCAAATATTCTTTGTTTGCTTACTATCTGGCAGATGCCATATGTGGCCAATGAGACAGACCTATATTAAGTTTGTTGGGGTAGCTTCAGGGACAGCCTTCCCTTTACCTGATAGAAGGGTAAGATGCAGTTAACAACTACTTCTTTCCCCTTCTTTTTGCGTTAAAGGGAGGAATTTTATCTAACATTGCTGAATCCATTTTATAACCAGCCTGAATATGAAAGCCAACAAACTAAGGATGAAAGACACAAAGAATGTGGGTCCCAGATGGTATCACTGAATGCTTGAACAAATACCAGCAACCTCTCATTTCTTTTATGTAAGAAGAATAAATCCTATTTGTTTCAACTTGCTAGTTACTTATAACTAAACACATCCCCAGATGATATCTAAGACACCAAAATGAGTAACAGACACTTTGCTCTCAAGGAGTTCAGGGTCTAATGGGAAAGACAGGCAAGGAAACCAATATTTATGTGATCCAGGTAAGTAACAGTGAGTTCTTAAAAAAGGTGTGGAAGCAACTAACTCTACCTAGGGAAGTGAAGAACGTTTTTATAGAATTTGAGATGTATAATCTGCGTACTGAAGACTAAATAGTATCACTAAGGAAAAGAAAAATGTATTTCAAATTTCAAGTACAGAGTGCAGCATATGCAAAACACTAGTACAGTAAATCCTACAAAAGTCAGGAACTGTGTAAGGCGGAAACCTATCAGAGAAGGAAAATGCAAATATTTTCCACTCATAAAGAGGAATACAAAAGTGGTAAGTCTGCACCCTGTCAAAGGCAGAAAACTTGTGAGGCTCAGAACCTGTCCAGTTCTGGCTCTCACAGGTTTTATTCTACTAGGAAGGAATCTTTGAAGGAATTACTGTATTTAAGCTCAGTTCACTTTACTGCTGATAAAGTACAGATGATACTTATAATGACCAGAAGTTATCAAGGAAAACCAAACCATTGCCATTGAGTTGATTCTGACACATAAGGACCCTATGGGACAGAGCAGAACTGCCCCATATGAGTTTCCAAGGCTGTAATCTTTACAGAAGCAGACCGCCACATCCTTCTCCCACAGAGCAGCTGGTAGGTTCAAACAACCAACCTTTCAGTTAGCAGGTGAGCACTTAACCACTGTGCCACAAGGGCTCCTTTTACTAAGGAAAAGGTGGGACAATATATAGAATTATTTATAAACAATTTCCATCTCAAGTATTAACAAAACTTTTAAACTGCAAGATTTAGTCACATTTATTAATTTACATAAAATACTTCTTGTTAAGCAGTATCAAGAAGTATTTTATGTAAATTATTAGCTTTCTGACACTAATTTTCTTTACACTCTTTTTAACTTCTAAAAAAGAGATCACGAAAGTAATTCCTGAAGTTGGTTTTAGTAAAAATTTTAAATAAAAACCATCCCTAGTTCCCTCCTCATAGGTAAGCAATTGGGTACATCCTTCCAAACCATTTCCTTTGCATTTCCATGCATCTACAAATAAATTATCTTACATACATTCACACATTTAAAATTGTAAATGTATTCTGATATCGTTATGTGACTTTTCACATAATATATATTGCTCTTTTGTCAGCATTATTAGGAAAATTATTTTAACATTTTAGTTGCAAGTTGAATTTTGTGATTTTTAAAGTTCTAATTAATGAAGAGCAAAGACTATATAGCCTTTAATATAGATTACACCTCAACATAAAGAAAGCAAAAATCCTTAACTGGACCAATAAGCAACATCATGACAAACGGAGAAAATATTGAAGTTGTCAAGGATTTCATCTTACTTGGATCCACAATCAATGCCCATGGAAGCAGCAGTCAAATATGCAGCAAAAGACCTCCTTAAAGTGTTGAAAAGCAAACACATCACTTTGAGGACTAAGATGCACCTGACCCAAGTCACAGTATTTTCAATCACCTCATATGCATGCAAAAGCTGGACACTTTTCAATCACCTCATATGCATGCAAAAGCTGGACACTCAATAAGAAAGATCAAAGAAGAATTGATGCCTTTGAGTTATGGTGTTGGCGAAGAATACTGAATATACCATGGGCTGCCAGAAGAACGAACAAGTCTGTCTTGGAAGAAGTACAGCCACAGTGCTCCTTGGAAGCAAAGATGGTGAGACTTTGTTCACATACTTTGGATATATTATCAGGAGGAACAGTCCCTGCAGAAGATCCTTGACGAGATGGAATGACACAATGGCTGCAACAATGGGCTCAAACATAAAGATTGTTGAGAATGATGCAGGACCGGGCAGTGTTTCCTTCTGTTGTATGTACATAGGGTTGCTATGAGTCACAGTCAACTTGAGAGCACCTTACAACAAATTAACGAATTCCTCCTATATATCCTGTGAAGATGAAACACTAGCTAAGGCTAAAGTAATCATATACTGAAATGCAGACATTCCTAATTCATGTTAGGGAGGGAAATGATTAAGAGGTTCATTTCCTAAGGTTGAAGATGCTGGTGGTGCTGGGGGTGGGGGTGGGGAAGGGAGGCTATAAACGAGGGCAATAGCCCTGTCTCTTTACCTAAGTCAGCCACTGACCTCTGGGCAACACAGGGGGATTCAATACATCTCCCAAAATATAAATCATTATTTGCCATTAACTAGTCTCACCAAGGGTAACACACTGGTCTTATCTGTGAAGGGCTAGAAAATTCTCCAGTTCTCTAAACCTGGAATTACAGAAATTCATAAATTTCAGTTGGGTTGGGTTCAAATCTCCAAGAAGGGCTTTGCCTACTGTGGCAGCTTGCAGTTCACTGCTTAAAAAAAAAAAAAAAAGTCAGTGTGTATAATTTAAGTTCAATTCATTCAACAAATATTCAAGTGTCTACTATAAAGAGGGCACTATGCATGGGATTGTAGAATTATCTGCTCAGCATACAAATTGAATAAGTATGGTGAAAGGATACTTTGGACATGTTATTAGGAAGGACCAGTCCCTGGTGAAAGGCATCATACTTGGTAGAGCGTCAGCGAAAAAGAGGAAGACCCTCTATAAGATGGATTGACACAGCAGATGGAACAATGGGCTCAAACACAGCAACAACTGGGAGGATGGTGCAGGACCGGGCAGTGTTTCCTTGTGTTACATATAGAGTCGTTATGAGCTGGAACCAACTGGATAGCACCTAACAACAACAACATGCAAGGGATTTAGAATAATTCAGATTTCTAGCTCTACATGTACCAGTTGTGTGAAACTTTTCTAAGTCTTCGTTTCCTTATCTACAAAACAAGGATACCACTACTTAGTTTGTAGGATTGTTATTAAGGATTAAATGAGATGATGTACCCCCTGCAAAGAGAACTAAAAGAAGCCAAATAGAAATCTTTATTTAAAACAATTCATATTTGTGAATTCAGGAATAAAAATATTGACAATTAAAGAATTTTCCAATTAGTTTTTATTAATGATCATAAACATAAACTGTATTTAATTTTTAGTCTAAACTATATAAAGTAAAAATCTCATAACCTAGAATCCATTCAAATTTCAGGCAGTCCTAGAACTGAATTTGATTCTGCAATAAATACAGTAAAAGGGCAGCTTTGCTAAACAAATAATGCCAAGTAAGACTGTAAAGAAATGTTTACTATGCTGATCTACCTAGGACAATAAGCTCTTGAGAAAATGACAGTTTATTTAAAAGTAACTTCAAGCTTACAGAAAACCTGCAATAGTACAAAAAACTCCCATATTCCCTCTACCTAGATTCACTAATTGTTAACATTCTGTTACCTTTGCTTTACTATCTTCTCTCCCTCTCTGTAAATAAGTATATATATGTACACATATATACACATAAACCAAAACCAGTTGCTGTTGATTCCAACTCATGGCGACCCCATATGTGTCAGAGCAGAACTGTGCTCGATAGGGTTTTCAATGGCTCATTTTTCAGCAGCAGATTGCCAGGCCTTTCTTCCCAGGCACCTCTGGGCAGACTGGAAACTCCAAACTATTGGTTAGCAGTCGAGTGCGTTAATCATTTGTACCACCCAGGGACTGACACTGACTCTCTCTCTATAAATACATACACAGGTTTTCTTTTTTTTTTAAAACTCTTTGAGAATAAGTTACACACATCATGCCCCTTTACCCCTAAATGCATTTCCTAAGAACAACGACATTTTCATAAAACCAGTACAGCTATCAACTTCAGGAAATTTAACAGTGATATGATACCTTTATTAATCGACCATCCATAGTCCAATTTTGTCAATTGATTCAGTAATGCCCTTTATAGAATCGCCGATTGTATTTAGTTATCGTATCTCAGTAAATAACATCTGAGATGCTTTTATAAACAAATGAGCTGCTCAAAACAGATTAGAAAATGAACCTTACAAAAATGAAGTTGCTTTAAGTCCTATTCTAGCACTATGTGTCCTTTCCTTTCACAAAAGTTACGTTAGTAATGCTATTTCTACAGTTCCAAAGAATTTATCAAAAACAGTCTTTAAATTGTAAAAGCAGCATTCAAGAACGAGAAAAACTTAACCTCATTAAAAATGAAGCCAATGAATAGCAGTTCTAAACACATTGTTGGGCCATATTTTATGCATCTGTGAAACCATCACAGAACTTAGTACAGGCCAAGAAGGACACACTGGAAAGTGGCCACAGTACTTACCTCTCAGGGGTTGGTGGGAGGATTGAGTGCAAAGAGAGACTTTCACTTTTTACTCTACGAATTTCTGTACTGTTTGATCTTTTTGACAATGAGAACATATTTCTTATTTAATATTAGAATACAATAAACAAAAAAAAAGAAAACTAGATAAGGGTGCTCCGTTCTTCATGAACTCGGTTAACCTGGACAGCCAAGTTCACATCTTGGTACTTTGGTTTGTTCATCTGAAGAGACGGTGGTGACACCTTCCCCTAACTTAACGAAGGGAGACGTCAGAAAGGCCAAGTAGTTAATGAACTACTATTTCAAGGAGAAAGAACCAAGAGAAATGTTACTCATAGATCAAAAAAACCTCTCACACGAACTGGCTGGCCGTCTAAGGTTAACGGTCTACCCTCAAAACCAGAAACTCAAGCAGAAGCTTCCTGGATTCTAGAGCTTTCACTCCGCAGCGGGTAACCTAGAAGAAGCGGAGGGAAAGTGGTCAGGGCTCTGGGGGACACCTAGGAGGCCGTTCCGGGCTGTCAGCGGGGAGGGGAGAGAGGCCGTCTCCGCGCACTAGGGTGGATTCATGGGCAGCGGCCAGGCTGACAGTGCCGTCCGGGTCCGCGAGGCAGTGGGCGCAGGGAGAACGGCTCCGGAGGCGGGGGCCGGTTCCGTCCCTTACCGAGCACTGGGCACGTCCACTGGCCCGAGGCCGCTGCCGCCGGGACCGGCTAGCACGTCCCCGCCGTATTTCTCCTCCATGCCGGGGCTCAGGAGCCGCCGCCACTGCCCCCACCGCGGGGTCTCCTCATGTCTCGCCGCTGCAGCGTAACAGCCGGCGCAGGCGCGTCATTCCCCCATGGCAGCGGCCCCGTCGGGTCCCCCCGCAGGCCAGGGCCGCCGCTGCCCCCAGCTCCTGCTCACCGGCACACACGAGTCGGGACTAGGCCGCGAGCAGTTCCAGCAGCGTACAGTTCCCGGGACGCGACCCGGCGCGGACGTCGCCAGGCCACGTCATCGGGCCCAGCAGCCCTCACTCCCGGGGGAGTGACCAGCCCTGCGCCTGCGCATAACAGAACACTCGCCTTCTCTTGCTGTTTCTTAGGCCCCGCCCCCCGCCGGGTGACGGAGTCAGATCCCCGCCTGCTCTCGGCCCTTCGCATTGACGCGCCACGTGTTACTTACCTGTCCCCGCATCGCCGCCTATGGGCCGTCACAGGTACGGCGGGTTGCTGTAGCAGAGAGAGAGAGAAAAAAATGCACCACGTGTGAGTAAACCGAGTTAGCTCACTAGTCTACTGCATTATAAATTCTTAATCGCGGGTCTGTTAAACCTCGCCTACCTCGAAATTTGTGTGAGTATAGATGAGTTTTTTTTCTGGTGAGAAAACCCATGAATTTCACCAGTCTTAAAAGTGCTTGCAGCAGTACAGACACAGGGAACTGCCAGAAATTCAAGCTGGATTCGTAAAGGAAGAACAACCAGGGTATCATTACTGATACCAGATGGATCTTGGCCGGAAGCAGAGAACACCAGAAAGATGTTTACCTATGTTTTATTGACTATGCGAAGGCATTTGATTGTGTGGATAATAACAAATTATGGATAACATTGCAAAGAATGGAAATTCCAGAATACTTAATTGTGCTCATGAGGAACAAGAGGCAGTCATTCGAACAGAACAAGGGGATACTGCATGGTTTAAAATCAGGAAAAGTGTGCATCAGGGTTGTGTCCTTTCCCCATACTTTCTCGATCTGTATGCTGAGCAAATAAGCTGAGAAACTGAACTGTATGAAGAACACAGCATCAGGATTGGAGGAAGACTCAATAACAAGCTGTGATATGCAGATGACAACTTTTTTGCTTGCTGAAAGTGAAGCGGACTTGAAGCACTTACTGATGAAGATCAAAGACTACAGCCTTCAGTATGGATTATTCCTCAAAAAATCCTCACAACTGGACCAATAAGCAACATCATGATAAACGGAGAAAATATTGAAGTTGTCAAGGATTTCGTTTTACTTGGATCAACAATCAGCGCCCATGGAAACAGCAGTCAAGAAGTCAAACAAAATATTGCACTGGGAAATGTACTGCAACAGACCTCTTTAAAGTGCTAGAAAGCAAAGATGTCACCTTGAGGACTAAGGTGTGTCTGACCCAAACCATGGTATTTTCAATTGCCTCATATGCACGCAAAAGCTGGACAATGAATAAGGAAGACCGAAGAAGAACTGATGCCTTTGAATTATGGCATTGGCGAAGAATGTTGAATACACTGTGGTCTGCCAGAACGAACAAATCTATTGTGGAAGAAGTACAGCCAGAATGCTCATTAGAAGCAAGGATGGTGAGATTTCATCTCACGTACTTTGGCCAAGTTATCAGGAGGGACTAGTCCCTGGAGAAGGACATCATGCTTGGTAAAGTAGAGGGTCAGTGAAAAAGAGGAAGACCCTTAACAAGAAGTATTGACACATTGATTGCAACAATGGGCTCAAACATAGCAATGATTGTGAGCATGGCGCAGGACCGGGCAGTTTTTCATTGTATCGTACATAGGGTTACTATGAGTTGGAACCGTCTCAACGGCACCTAATAACAACAACAAAAGTGCTTGACCCTCAAATGGTTAACTATTATCTGTTTGAATCTGTAGCGAATACGTAACAAATACAGGTTTAGCCTCTTGTTTTGATCACCTTTGATGGACCTTGGAGAGAGAAGCTGGTATTTTGCCCAAATTTCCCATCTCTGCAAACTAGTGTATATATGTGCCCCATATCAGTGCATTTTCTAGGAGCAAGCACCTGTGAGTCTTCATGGCCTTTGCTTTCGCACCAAAGGGAAACTGTACGACAATTTCCAGCCCTCTAACTCAAGGATTCTTCTTTTCCTGGGGGAGGCTGGGATGATCTATTTAAAAAGAATGAAGAAGGGGTAACTGCTTTTTGGGTTCTTTGGGAGTTGGGGTACTGGTGGTGATTGCTACCCAGAGACCTTGGAATTGCAGAAGTGCATGAGGACAGTATATAGAAGAAAGGGGATTTGGTTAAGTGTTGCTGTGAAGTATGCATTTTTATCCCTTTTGAAAAGTAAAGAATAGAATTTATTTTTTATTATTGTGGTAAAAATATATATATATATAACAAAACGTGCTATTTCACCATTTTTTATGCATACAATTCAGTGACATTAATTATGTTCATCATGTTGTGCAACTGTCATCACTATCATTTCTAACTTTTTCCATCACCCTTAACAGAAACTCAGTGCTCCCGAATCCACGACTCCTCCTTTCTTCCTCCCTCCCGCCCCTGGTAACTACTAATGAACTTTAGTTTCCATACATTTGCAGAATAGAATTTCTTTTCAGTTTTTTCTGGCTGTTGTCAAAGAGCTTGTACATGTACTCTGTCAAAATGAAAACAAAGCGATTTATTGGAGGCCGAGAGATAGTTTGAACCAGGGATTGAACCGGGGACATACTGAGCTTCACGAAGCGAAACCTAGCACTCCAGGAATCTGAAGATGAACAAGTACATTTATATGGCGAAATTAAGGATTTATAATACAACTTTTTGATTGGTGCTTAAGCATTTAGGGAAGTGGAAGGCGGGATAACGAAGTGGGGAATCGAAAGGGATTGGTACAAAGCATAAATATGGGCTATCTGGAGGGGTTATTAGCATTGTAGGAATACGGGACTATACATTGTGGTCATAGGGCAATTACGGGACATTTTTTCCTGAGAGTGTTATGTTAAAATAGTTTTTTGAGCAAGGTGTTTGTTTGAGGGTTGCTTAGCAGGAGACTTCTGATAAGCCATTTACGTCAAGACTCCCTTTGGGAACGTTCTTTTCACATCCTTAGCTTAACTACAGAGAAAAACATTTCGTGAATTATATGTTACAATGCTGTTTTGCAGGGTGCAGTGGAAAGATACAAAGGTCTGCAGTTTGCATTCTCAAGGTAGAAATCAATCCTTTAATAACAGAATGGAGTCTGAATTTAGATTTAGGCCAACCTTTTTATTATAGTCAAACACGGGGGGATTAACCAGTAAGCATGGTATGTACCGTCTTATAGTAGATCTGGTGAAAACCAGGTGAAATTGTGCACTACAGATTAGTAAGTAAGCACAGTTAAGCCTGTATGTACCTTGCTTATTGGGTAATCTGTCCCTGCTCAAACACCTCAATTTTGGAGCTCTCATTTACTGTGAAGCTCTGCCATTTAATCCTGGCACATCTGTAAAGCCAGACCAGATAGAACCAGGCTTTATAGGATCGTTCTTCTATTGTTAGAAAGTTAGGAATATGGGCTCCTGGGTCTGTCTGAATCTCAGCTCTGCCACTTATTAATTGTGTGACTGCCAGTCACTTGGTGTTTCTATACCTCATTTTTCTTATTTGTAAAATAGGAATAATAGTACCTATGTTATATTTGTTGGTATATTGAGGCTTCACTTCTTCCAAAAGTCTCCAATTGATTTTTTTGTGGCAATTTTTTGGTAGCAATTTCTTTGTAGAACTGCTGTTTTCTTATCAGAATGGCAATGGTAGCAATTAGCATGTTTTTCTAGAGCTAGCTCCATTCCTTCAGAGTTCAGAGAGCTTGGTAAAATTACATGTATAAACTGAAATTAACTTTCATCTCACATGGAGCTTGAATTTGGTTGATATTTGCTGATTTGATTAGAATTACAATACTTTTCTTTAGGGTTGCTGGGAGGATTATGTGTTAATACATGAAAAGTGTCTAGAACAGTAAATGGAATATAGTAAGTACTCAATGAAGGGGGGGGTCACTATGAGTCAGAGTCGATGGCAACTTTTTTTTTTTATTACTCAGGGAAATTTGGCAGCAGGGGATTGGAGTAGAAAATGAACTGTGAATTTCCGGTCCTGTTTGATGCGACCCGTCACAGCCAATAAATGAGGGGCTGAGGTGGGAGATCAGAATTGCAGCTTTATTTCATTGGGCAAGGAAAGGAACACTCGGAGCTGGTGCCTCCAAGACTTACCAGCCAGGGTGAGAAGGAAGGTTACTTTTATGGGGTTTACAAGCAGGAAGTTAATCCCAGTTACATAAGGAACATTCTTAATTATACTACGCAGGCACAATGGGATTTACATATAACGTCATGCATCACGTGTTCAGAAAACGGAGATAAAATTCCACCCAGAGGTGGGAAAGTTAATATACATTAGGCACTTAATGAGCTGGAAGGTCACCCGAGGTGTCAATATGGTGCCTAAACCAGTTTTAGCCAATTTCATCTAGTTCTGGGCAGCAGTTAAGGAAAGGGGAACCAGGATGTTAATGTAAAGTTATGGAGATATGTCAAGCAAGTTGCTTGTAGCAGTGGAATTTTCCGCAGCCTGGGGACCTCTGTCTTAAAAGTGGTGTAAATCATAGTTAGTTTGTAATGTTGTTGTTAGGTGCTGTCCAGTGGATTCCGACTTATAGTGACCCTATGTACAATAGAATGAAACACTACCCAGTCCTACGTCATCCTCACAATTGTTGCTGTGTGTGACCCCATTGTTGTAGCCACTGTGTCAATCCATCTCATTGAGGGTCTTTCTCTTTTTTGCTGACTCTCTACCAAGCATGATGTCCTTCTCCAGGGACTGGTCCCTCCTGATAACATGTCCAAAATACCTGAGATGAAGTCTTGCCATCCGAAATTTTAAGAAGCATTCTGGCTGTACTTTCTTCCAAGACAGATTTGTTCATTCTTCTGGCAAGTCCATGGTACATTCAGTATTCTTTGCCAACACCATAATTCAAAGGCATCAATTCTTCTTTGGTCTTCCTTATTCATTGTCCAGCTTTTGCATACATATGAATCTAGCTTGAATTTCTGGCAGTTCCCTGTTGATGTACAGTTTTAACCATTTTTGAATTGTCTTCAGCAAATAGTTTGTAATACTCTAGTTAATTTGAGTATACACAAA